GGCTCTCCTTATCAATCCACAAGACCTTATTTAAACCTTTCATGCTGACAGCAGCAATCATCCGCTCCTCTGTCTCAGGGCAGGTTAAGGCTTGGCTGACATTTGTGCCGCCGCCGTAAGGTAGAAGGCAGACATTGCACTTCCGCGCTGTATCAACAATAGCGAGAACTTGTTTTGCGTCCGAGGGGTATAGGACAACATCAGGCATGCGTTTAATGGATATAAAGTCATAGTTAATCTGGTGAATGTCCTGCAGGGAGTGCCCATGGCCGCAGCGTAACCTTTGCAGAGGATCCAAACTTATCTGCGTATCTACCATAAACAAGCAAATACTCTTCAGAAATCGTTCATTTTCCCTCGCATCGGGCAGTGTTGCTGTTGTGAGAGAGGAGGGAAGCTTTTGTCCTCGGGGAATGTCGACTTCCATCAAATCGCTTATCCAAGGCAAAAGCTTGGGTAGTCTCTGTCCACTAGTCGCGTAACGTTTGCCAGTTATCTCAACTTCGCCATCCTTGGTTGCCCGATATTCGGTGTCTGTAAAGCCCCAAACATTTTGGCTTTCTTCCCCGTCACCGTAGTCCTGGTTTTCGAGCAAAATGATTCTCGACTTATGGTTCGCACTTAACATATTAGCTTCGAACAAATCAGGGTTAAATTCTTTATCGTGAGAATCTGGCACAGAGCCGTAAAGTTAAGGAGTAGTGGCAAAGACTGTCAGTGTTTGGAACACCAGCGAGGAGAAAATGAGAAAGTCGATGTTGGCAAACCATCCTGCAACTCCCCCGCTGCAGTCTACTCATCCACGACATGGGGCAAATCGCTAGTGGTTAGGGTGCTATGTACAGTACATACAATCAAGCCCAGCTCGTATTCGGCCAGTTGTCCATGCAGACTCCGCATTTCAGTCACAGCAGAATTGATTACTGTCACTTGGGCCTGCGTTCAACCCCCGCTCAGATCGACTGTTTGGATCTCAATATGTAACCAGCTGCAATGTCTGCTTACTCTTATGGCGATCGGTTGTCAGATCTCAAATCTACCACGGCATGACGATCTTGACACGCGCAATTTTTGCGCGTAAATTGTTTGACATTAGTTGGAGATCTATCTTTCGCGGTATTTGTGCAGTGATAGCCTCCCGCGACAATGATCACATCTCCGAAAAGAATATCACCAACCGCCTCGACCAAATATGGGCGCCGTCTCAGACAATGACTAGTTTTTCGGTTCGATCGGGTTTTGATCTGTTGTTACAGGCATGTGCTTTCCCTGCTGGAAGCGAAATTATTTTGTCAGCCGTCACTGTCCCTGACATGGTAAACATTATTCGACTACATAATCTAGTACCTGTTCCTGTTGATCTACAGGCAACAGATGCTAGTGTGTCAGCGAAAGATGTTGCAGAGCATATTACCTCGAGAACAAAAGCTGTGCTTGTTGCGCAATTATTCGGCAATCTACATCCCCTCGCAAATCTTGGTATATTAGCCAGGGAGCACCAATTGCTATTGATAGAGGACTGCGCTCAGGCATTCAAAGGTAGGGACTTTGTCGGGTCCCTAGAAGCATCTATCTCGATGTTTAGCTTTGGCCCCATCAAGACCTGCACCGCATTGGGAGGGGCGTTGTTGACCGTGAGGGATCCCAAGCTTCTCCAGAGCATGAAATCGACACTGGCAACCTACCCTCAACAGAAGCGAACACAATACCTGAAGAAGCTGCTGAAATACTCCATATTCAAAGCAGTCACAGATAACAGATATGCATATGGGACTCTGATTGCTTTGCTTAGGGCAAGGGAGGGAGATCATCACGCTGCTATCACGAACCTGAGCCATAGCTTACCTGGGAATGCTAATTTGGTAAGCCAGATTCGGCTTAGGCCGTCCAATGCTTCGATGCAGCTTCTTGAGCACCGTATTTCAACATTCAACTCTTCATACATCGACAAACGCGCGGCACGTATTGCAGAACTTGTCGTTCAACTTCCCGAAACGCTTCAGCCAATAGGGTTTAAGATGGCTAAAGGTCTGCCCTCAACTCATCATTATTGGATCTGTCCTATCCGTACTATACACCCACGCCGGGTTTTGAATGATTTGCTAGACGCTGGCTTTGATGCGGCTGCTGGAAATGCAAGTCTGACGGTGGTAAACGGACTTTCCACTTCAGAGAATGAAGCGGCTGATGCTTGCGTCAACTCGAACTTTTGTCCAACAGCCAGCATGATGATGAGGGATGTGATCTACCTACCAGTCGATCATGTTTTCACGCCCAAGTCCAAAGATCGTCTTCGAGCAGTTTTGATCAGACACACCGGTCCTACTTAGAATATACAGCGAAGCGAGCTAGAGTATGTCAGAAACAGCGCATAAATTGAAACTTTGAACTAAAGACACTCTCAGATATAGAACTGAGTCAAAGTTAATCTGACCAGTTTATGATATCCGCATTTTCCAGATAGTGCCTCACCAACAATACCAATAGCCATAGCTTCGACTACTCTTATCCCACATCAACTTGCGTAGCTCTGTCAAGCCCAGTCACCCGAAGTATGTATGATGCTAGAGCCAACCTGTGAATTGATAAGTGGCATTCTAACACTGGTTATCCAGCATCATGGTGACGTGTATTATAGTCACCAAGGCCTGGATAGAGCACACGACGATTTTAAAGCGATCGAGATCCTACAGAAGATTACATGTGAGCTTGATGGGTTTTATTATATAAAGGAACTATTTCCTTTCAATAGCCATTTCAAAAACCTGCAACTGAATAAATAGACTCAACGTTTTTTCGTCCTCCTTTGGCCATAATGGAGATCACCTGTGGCGTCGAACTAGAATTCTTGGTAGCTTTAAACGTAAGCAATGCGAATCTTTCAAGCATTTCTAAAGTTATTCAAGTATCAAATGTTACTAGACCAATTGCCGACCATTTAAAAAGGTCTAATTCATGTTACTAACATAAGAAAGTTGTGAAATATTTGAGTAACAGCATAAGGCAACAGGCATCTATAAATTGGCTGTACTCCTTTGATGTCTTTATGTTATGATTATGTGACGGACCGTAGAGCGCGTACGAGCA